TTCGTGGCCCCATTGGGAGCCCCACCAAAGGCCCACCTGCCAGCGTTCGCATGCGCCCACCGCACCCATTTTGGCACACCCCTCGCACGTTTCGTGGCCCCATAAAGGGGGCCCCACCGAAGGCCCAAATGCCCGCGCTCGCATGCGCCCACCGCACCCATGTTGGAACGCCCCTCGCACGCTTCGTGGCCCCATAGGGAGCTCCACCGAAGCCCCAAATGCCAGCGCTCGCACGCGCCCACCGCACCCAGGCTGGCCAACCTCTCACACGCTTCGTGGCCCCATAGGGAGCTCCACGAAGGACCACATGCCACCGCTCGCATGCGCCCGCGGCGCCCCTGCTGGCACACCCCTCACACGCTGCGTGGCCCCATAGGGAGCTCCACCGAAGCCCCACATGCCAGCGTTCGCATGCGCCCACCGCACCCATGTTGTTGGCCAACCTCTCACACGTTTCGTGGCATCGAGTGCGGTGCACACAACGACGGTGCCCACAACTGCATATGGTCGGGTCCTTCGCCAGGCTGTGTTTGGAGAAAAAACAAATGGAGGTGAAGGAGGAGGGGGCAGAGGACGAAGAAGCCCACCTCCCCTCCCTCTACAACTAAACCGTATGAATACTACGCTCACTCCTCCCATGAAGTTGTCCACAAGATCTCCCGCCCCCTCCGCGTGCTGTTGTTTTACACCAGATCTTACGTAGCAACCCGCAGATGCGGATAAGAGTGAGGGGCCGGTGGAGACGTCGGCAGTCTGCGAGACTCTGGGGAAGCCCGCCGCAGGCGGCAAAGTTTCACAAATTATACAACGAGCCCGCCGCAGGCGCCGATCTTCTCTTCGAACCAATGTGGATCGGTCGCGGGCGGGTCGCGAGTAGGTCGCGGGTGGGGCGCGGGTGGGGCGCGGGTGGGTCGCAGGTGGGTCACGGGGTGGGCCGCGGATGGGTCGCGGGGTGGGTCGCGGGTGGGTCGCGGGGTGGGTCGCGGGTGGGTCGCGGGTGGGCGCCGGGTGGGCGCCGGGTGGGTCGCAGGTGGGCCGCGGGGTGGGTCGCGGGTGGGTCGCGGGGTGGGTCGCGGGGTGGGTCGCGGGGTGGGTCGCGGGGTGGTTCGCGGGGTGGGTCGCGGGTGGGTCGCGGGGTGGGCCGCGCAACAGCAATATCAACAACAACAACAACAACAACAATTACTAGCACGTGGGGACACTCCGTTCTCACTAGTGCCAGGGTTTTCATAGGAGGCGGGCAATACCCCCCCACTTTGTGGGGGGGCCGGTTCAAGCTCTACCAAATTTCCAAACGACTCTTCGCCACCACCCACACCCAGCTTCCCGCCCTATGACGTTCGGACACTTCACTTCGTGGCATGCGGACGACCGTGGCTACTATTCAGGGCCCCGCGGCCGACGACGACGGCGTGCGCGCGCGAAGAAAAAACGAATGTGTCCCGCATGGTATTATTTGACAGGGATGATGGCCCTGGCAGGTGCGCAACCGTTGTTGCAGAAGTTTGAAAAAGTTGCTCGCAAAAGCCCGTTTGACAGAAATGTTGAAAAAGTGTTGGGTTTCCTACGAATCCGCAAGAGCGCGCGGGATGAATTTTTGACATTTTTTTTTGAAGAACCATTGGTTTTTTGATGTTTTTATGTTAAAATCGCTACGAAAACAAAGGTTTTGGAAGGATTTCGTCTTGCGCGCGCGAATGTCCACTTGACCTTGTTTTCTGCAAGGGATTATTGAAGTTTGGTTATGTTAGAACAAGAAATGTCCACTTTAGCTTTTTTTGCAAGGGAAAACCGCCCGTAACAAAACAACCGGATCCGGACCAACCCGTTTTGCCTGAGACTTCCTCACGAAAATGATGAAAACGCGGCTGCGGCCTAGGCGCGGCGGGGGGGCCATGCACCAGGGGCCCCAACAATAATTATTCTTTAGAAGTAATAATGTTCAACAATCAGTTTAAGACTGTTCGCTCTTATCTGCCCGAGTGTCCGTTAACGCGAATTTCCCAAACCCTCGATACCCGCCCTCTTCGTCTTCGATCGTGCCCATTTTGGGGGGTATGCCTTTCTTCCCTGCAGGCCGGGCCCTGGCAAGCGGCTGGGCGGCCGCGGACCGTCGGCCTGGCCAGCGGCAGCGCTGATCGGCGGCAACCTGACCCCAAGAGGGACGGACAGGGGACCGACCACGACGACGACGTCGACGACGACGACGTCGACGACGACGACGACGGCGACGACGGCGACGACGACGACGACGACGACGACGAGCGAAACCGAAAGCGAGAGAGAAAACGACAGCAGGGCCACGAAGGGCACGAAGTAGGCCACGAAGGGCTGCAGCGAGGACACAAAGGGAATGCCGCATTCCGAATGCGTATGGGGCCACGAAAGAGCACGAACGAGCGGGGGCCACGAAGGGCAGATAATGCGGGGCCACAGAAGGCAACGACGGGGCCACTGAGGGTAGAAATTGGGCCACGAAGGGCAGCGAGGGGGCCACAAAGGGCGACAGCGGGGCCACGACAGGCATGCATATGGGGCCACGACGGGCGCGAACGAACGGGGGCCTCGAAGGGCGTACATATGGGGCCACGAAAGGCAGCGAGGGGGCCACGACGGGCTGCAACTGGGCCACGAAGGGCAGCGAGGGGGCCACGAAGGGCTACAACGGGGCCACGAAAAGCAGCGAGGGTGCCACAAAAGGCTGCAACGGGGCCACGAAGGGCAGCGAGGGGGCCACAAAGGGCAGCAACGGGGCCACGAAGGGCAGCGAGGGGGCCACGAAGGGGTGCAACGGGGCTACGAAGGGCAGCGAGGGGGCCACGAAGGGCTGCAATGGAGTCACGAAGGGCAGCGAGGAGGCCACGAAGGGCTGCAACGGGTCCACGAAGGGCAGCGAGGGGGCCACGAAGAGCTGCCACGGGGCCACGAAGGGCAGCGAGATCCCGATTCCTAATCTGTGAGGGGGTCCTAAGCGTGAGCGCGACTCCTGGGTGCCTGGGTGTCGGGGGCGCGGCGATTGAGTAAATTGCAGGAAATTCAAACGCAAGGGCGCTATTTCTTAGTAAAGTGCAAGCAAGTCTCCAGCGAGAGCTTGACTCCAGAGCGCCGAGAAAGCGATTCCTGAATAAATTGTAAGGAAGTCCCAAGCGAGAGCGCGATTCCTGAATAACATGCAAATATCAGGCGGGAGCGGGGGTCCGGGCTAAATTGTGAGGAAGTCTCAGGCGGGAGCCGTTGTTGTTGTAACCCAGAAGCCGAGGGCACAGTTTGAGCCTCAAGACTTCCCCTGATAGCAAACTGGGTGCGAGCTCCTGGAAAGGCATTTCAATTGAAAAATAGAATGTGCACAGGTGGGGGGATCAACAAGATTTATTCTTCTGGAGTGAAAATTCAACAACAGCAGCAGCAGCAGCAACAACAACAACGCAACAAACAGATTCCTCACCACGGATTCTCATTTCAGCCACGCACCCAGGGACAATGAATGACCGTTCGACCCCCTCATTCTGACCATCCGATTGTTTTCGGTGGTTCAAATGCTGTTCCCGCTGCAGCGTGGGTTTGATTTTCGGATCGGCGCTTTGCTTCTGTCGTTCAGAATGGCGCTCTCGCCCAGACGCGGGCCACTTTTCTGGATCCGAGTCTTGCTTCACTGCGGCCCCACCCCTCATTTCTCCTCCTCCGCCTTCACCTGGTCCTCCTGTTCCTCCCGCTCCTTCCACTCCAGTTCCTGCTGCTGCTGATGCTGTTGTTGGTCACGCCCCAGCGCGGGCTTCTTTTCTGAATCCGAGTCCTCCTTCATCGTTGTCGCCCCCATGATTTCCCCTCCTCCGCCTTCCCCTGGTCCTCCTTTTCCTCCGTACCCTTCCGCTTTAGTTCTTGCTGATGATGATCGTCCTCATCTTTTTCTTCCCGCTCATCCTCCTGCTCATCCGCCACCTCCTCCTGCTCATCTTCCTCTTGTGCACGCAGCTCCTTTTTTCCCGATTTCGCATACCACGAAGTGGTCTTTCTGAGGGAGTCGCAGGTCGGCTACGTCACGCGCCCGCGGATAATAGGACAAGAGCGCCATGGTAAAAGATGGGAGGGAAAGGTAGGATGTCATATGAGGCGCGAGCGCATCTAGCTTGCCCCCGCCCCATCCCTCCTCCCCTCCCTCCCCCCCCTTGCGGCATCGCGTTCGCCGCCGCCCTTCCGCGGCCGCGCCCTCGGCGCAGGCCACCGGGACGCACCCGGGCTGCTGGCGAGCCGCCCCTTGCTCCTCCTCTCCGCATCGCCCCCCCGGCCGCGCAGTGGTAAGGGGGGGGAAGAGAGAGGAGGAGGGAGAGAGGAGCAGGGAGGGAGGGCGGGAGGATGAGAGGGAGGTGGTAGGAGGGAGGGAGGGAGTGGGGGCGGGAGGAGCAGGGGAGGAGGAAGGAGGGGGATGGGGGGATAGAGGTCGGGATGCGAGGAGGGGCGGCCGAATGGGCTCAGACGCCGCACGGGCTCAGAGGGGAACCCTAGGGCAGACACACACACACACACACACACATGCGCCTGGGCCTCGTGGCAGACGTCGCTGCGTGCGTTCCAGCAGCGGGCCGCGCAGCCAGGGAAAGAAGGGAGAAGGCGGACGAGGAGATGGGAGGTCGAGGAGGTGGAGGAGGGGAGGAGGAGGGGGGGGGGGAGGGGGAGGAGGAAGGGAGTAGGAGGAGGAGGAGGAGGAGGACGAGGAGGAGGAGGAGGAGGGGGAGGAGGAGGAGGAGGAGGAGGAGGAGGAGGAGGAGGAGGAGGAGGAGGAGGAGGAGGGGAGGAGGAGGGGAGGAGGAGGGGAGAGAGGAGGGGGAGGAGGAGGAGGAGGAGGAGAAGGAGGAGAAGGAGGAGGAGGAGGAGGGGAGGAGGAGGAAAAGGAGGAGGAGGAAAACCTCGAGGATCGAGAGCCTGTGAGGAATGGTTTTTTTCTCTGCCGCGCAGCCCCTTCCGAGAGGGGACACACTCCGACGCCGCCGCGATGGAGTGAGGAGCTCAACTGGCAGGATCTCAACGTCGCCAGCTACATGAACCAACCCGACAGGTTGCGCATCTTGGGGTACAACCCGCAGTCGGCAGGCGGGGACCGACTCTCCGAGATGTCCGAGGAATGCGGCAACTTTGATTTCACATCGTTGGCAGGAACGCAGCAGAAGGCTTTCTCAGCGTCAGATCGAAACCTCTTGACACGCAGAGCGAATGGAAAGACAATAATTGAGGCCCCGTGGGGGGCGCGCGACTCACCTTTTAGTAATCGTAGCTGCGGGGCTATCATCATTTTAAGAGCTGGTCTGAACCGTTCGTGTACAAAGCAGATGTGGCAACCTCCCTCGGGGGCGTCTGGACGGTGCCTAGGACTCAGGGTCAAGCGAGGGAACCTTGATGTGACCCCTATATCAATGCATTTCCCCCCGCAGCCAGATAGAGCAAGTCAAAGGGCCAGTAATTAGGAGTTGCCAAGCAGATGACGAGTTGGTTTCAGTCGCTTCTTTCGTCCCTACCAACGCTCACGACACCCGTCATATATGCAGATTTGAATGAGGGAACCGGCCGTTTTTGAATGACCAGAAGCAGTGGCAAAACGCCGATAACGGGGTGGTTGGGATTCGGACGGTGGAGCGGATTCGGGGTGGGGCGGGGATGACCACGCGTAAGATTCTCGCACAGCACCACAAGTTGGCCTGCAACACACTTTCGGGCCAAATTGTACACACGCACTTTGGACATAATAGTTCGAGCCGCAGCGACTATCTTTTCTTATTCCTAAGCATATGCGATATGCCAAAGCGTCGACTGGAGTTTTAACTCAACTAGGAGCCAAGCTACAAGCATGCAAGGCGACTCCCCCAAAGACCACCTGCCGCTCCATTTCTGCCTGAAGTACAGTCAGCACTCGGTTGAGCCAGTTCAGGCACAGCAAAGTGGGGAACGCTGGCAGCGCGACCAGATAATGGAGGCGGCGCGCACGGGGCGGGGGCGGGAGCAATTTTTCAACGCAGTCAAGGACGAGCTTCAGCAGGCTCACCCCCCGCGGCTAAAAGTGCACGCCGCGCCAGATCAGATATTTGACACTTTGGAGCAGAGCCTGGTCAAAGCTGGGCAAGTCCGATTTAAACCAGCCGTCGCGCCAAATAAATATCGGCAGTTTGCGCCCCGACGAAGAGAGCCGCCGAGACAAAGGGCTGCTCCGAGGGGCTTCAGACTCGCCTGCTCGGAGGAGGAGGTCGAACGCATTGAGACCGAGCTGGCTGAGTTGAGTCGCGCTCTTTATCAGGAGCGACGAAAGCTAGCCAGGGAACGAAGAGCGGGTCTCCTGGCCGAGGCTCGGGAAGCGCGGGGGCGAGGGCGCCCGGCCGAGGCCGCGGGGGCCGCGCGAGCCGCGGCGCGCTGTCGGCACGGACCGAAGCGACGCGATGTGGTCGGTTTGCCTGCACAGCCTCGCCGCCGGCTCAGGAGTGGGTGAAGGCGCTTAGTTTGGGCGGGCGGGAGGGCGGGATGGGTGCTTCTGAATTCGTGTATGACAACTGGAGGTCTGAGAGGGAGATCCAAGATTCTCCCTTCGAGCGCAGCGCTGATGTTCAGGATCCAGCCGAGAGCGATCTGAAACAAATCATGCGACATGTCAGGCGAGCCCCCCGAAGGACACAGGTTCCGCCAGGCACTGATCCACTTGAATTGTGGCGCATGTCTGCATGCCCCAGTCGTAAGCTGAAGATGCGACGGGGAGCTGCCCCCCCTGAGAAGATGCCGAGGGGCGAAATTTGATGGTTCCTGCTGGAGCTCGGTCTTTGGAAAATCAGACAACATGATATCACCCGGCTTCATTGGCGCGCCAGCGATGGCGCAGCGTGTGTTATATATATATATATATATATATATATAGCGCTGGCCCAAGGGGCCGACGGATTGCCCGCGTTCCGCCCGCGCTGGGCAAAGGTTTCTTCGCTTTTAAGTTTCGGGCCACCCCGACCGTAAATGATCGCGGCTTCTGTCGAGGCCGACGCCGCGAGAATGCGACCCCGTCAGCTCTGCAGACCAGCCGGCAGTTGCGCGCGCGCCAACAGACGCACGCCATTTGCCTCAAGGACCTCACGAATGCCTTTGCCCGCTCGGACTGGCAACGCGTGGATGTGGCCGTGGAACTCGGCACGAGAGAAGAGGGCCGCGCGCTCTGCCGCCAGCGATATAGGCAGGGAGTTATGTTCCTAGAATCTTCGGACCGCCCACCGGCGCCCAAGCCCGGCGAGGGGGGCGCGTTGGGCGGGGGGGAGGGGGGGGGGGGGGCATTTATTGCTGCTAAGTTTGCAGAGGTTTTCAAGCCACCTGATCTACAGTGGAGCCATTGGCACTGGCAGAATGACCTCACGGGCAAAGTTCCCACCTCTGTCTGGGGCCCCTGCAAAGCAGATCTTAGCTTGAGCAAATATGCGGACGACCTTCTAAAGTTTATACTCGTCCCCTCTGGTTTAACTTTGACGGAGCTGGTTGATAAGATCCGCAGGTCAGATGAATGTTTAGATGAGCAACTCGATCAATGTGGCGACCTACAGAACGCTTGCAAACAGGAGTGCTCGTTCCATTTACAGGGGGTGGGCAGCACGACATTTTAACAACTTCTAAGAGATGTCCAAATGCACGGGCTAAACTGTACAATAATTCTCTCAGTTGGATGTCTAGGACCGCACTTGGCCCAACGCAGCACGCCGACGCATGAGATTGCGAGGCGAATCCAGGCAGCGCGCACTTCGTTTCATCCGCTCGGTGCTATCTGGACCACGTCTCTCCCGTTCCAGTTTAAAAGGCGCCCCCTTCTCTGTTTTGTCCTGAACGCGCCCCCAAGCGGGCTCGAGTGCTTCGTTGCCCCAGCCAAAGACTGCGAGAGGCTCGGCAGACAGCTCACGTGGCGTCGCCGAGTCGCCACGCGAGGATCAGCGGCGAACTGGGACGGGGACCGCCCCGTTGGCTTCACTAACCACCAAATATTGAGGTTTGTGGCGGTTTGCTTCGTGCTGGATTGAGATAGCAATTCGACGTCTCAAGCTCTACCAGGGCTGGGCCAGGGACCCATAGCGCATTCACAGGTTCTGGCAGCTCTGTTTAGGGGAAATGGAAGTTGATCGTCCCCTCCCCCCCCCCCCCCCCCCTATAATTAATGGGCGCCCCGCGGAATTTGCTTCCCTCTGGGTTCTCCAGCTGCGTGCTGATTTAAAATATGCTTTTGCATCTACGGGCGAAGGCTCGTTTGAATCGCTAGCGAGGATTTCGCTGATGAATGCATTAGATTCGACGTCGCAGTACGACGCGCCACGGTCTTCTCGGTCCAAATCCCTCCTCCCGGGTTCGAGCCCACACACACACACACACACACACACACACACACATACAGACCGCCCCCCCCCCCCCCCCCCCCCCCCCCCCCCCCCCCCCCCCCACCACCCGCCCCCTTCGTTGGGGGCCAAAGCTCAGAAGAGGACCCTGAGAAATACGCGTGCTGGATCGCGACGGATGGAGCCCCCTGTACTTGCAAGTTTGCCATTCGGAAAGCATTGTTAGATCACCCCCGTGGGTCACATAATTTGCGCAGTATCGCACGCGCGCCCACCCCCAGCAATTCATGCATCCACTGTCGCGAGACCCCGGATCAGACAGGAGCAGCTCGCCACCCCATGCAGCCCCTGAGACGAGGGCACTGCGACGCCCGAGGGCCCGCAACTCTTCGCCCACAGACGGAGCTTCAGAGTCTGATCTGCCCATGCTGTTCTTATTCGTTTTCTACAGTAGACCAGTGCTGCAGCCGTCTGGCCAGTCATTTGCCCTGGACGCTAGCCCCGTTCGCCCCGCGTGAGCGGGCACCGCATCGCATGCCCGACAACGCGCAGGAGGCCCCTGGGCGGTGCAGATCGACGCGGAAGCGGAGCGGACGGGCAGGCCGACTTCGACAGGGACAACGGCAAGGAGCAGAAGAGCAGCAAGGGCAAGGACAGCAAAGGCGAGGTAGAGGTCAAGCTCGTCAACTACATGGCGCGCCTCACGCTCAGCAACGCCCGCGAGCTGGCGGATCTCTCGGCGGTGATCTACGCCAGGTGCAGCGCCCCCGCGGCCGCGGGGGTCGCGGTGGCAATGGTCGCGGGCGGCAAGGCATACGAGGCCGAGTCGAAGCAGATGAGAGCCGACGCGGAGCTGTGCACGGCAGTCGATTGGAAGAGCTGGGGCCCGACATTTCTACACATCTCCATTCCGCTGTGCATCTACATAGCCGAGAAAGAATCCAAGATGCAGGACCCTCAGCCTCACGATCAGGAACAACACCGAATCTCGGAGCAGATTAAGCAGCTCATCGACGATCGCATGAAGTCCGTCTCTCTGGAGGAGCTCGGATCGCTGGCGCTGCACTGCCGAGTGAAGACGCAGAGGAAGCAGGACAGCGAGGACCAGCGCGCGACGATACTGCCCAAGTTCGACCACAGCCACTATCTTGCCACAGTGGTCGCGCCGCTGATCTCCAGGACGATCGCGTTCGAGGGCGACGAGAAGTTGATCGGGGCATCCCCGCGCGGGCATTTGGAACGAGAGATCTCACGGATGCTCGACGGCGACAGGTAGAGGCCATAAGAAACAGCAGCAGACTCGCAGAACTGATTGCCAGCGGTCGCGTAGACCAAACTTTTGTTAACAGTCCGTTCAGTAATCAAGTGCAGATTTATAACAAACCAGCCCTGCCTGCGCAGCCTGCGGCGGCATTGCCGTCGCGCACGCGCCATAGGATCCAGGCTAATAAGGGCAAGGGAAAGAAGGGGCGGAGTGGGCGGGGCGTTGACGGCGGGGGGGGGGGGGGGGGGGGAAGGGAATTTAATGTTCAGACGACCTGCGCCGAGAGCGCTGGCCCCTGCATGGGGTTCGGTGCCTCTTGGGGTCGCCAGCCAGGCCAGCGCCGCCGCGTGCGGTGCGCAGCTGGCCTCGACTCGCTTTGCGTCGGTTGCGTGGCTAACCTTCCCAGAATCCCTTGCAATTTCCGACAGGAGCCCAAGTCGGATACCCGTCGAACTGTTTGTGATGTCGTGGTTCCCATGGGTCTTGAGCGCTGAGTTTTGAGGAGGAGGAGGAGGAGGAGGAGGGGGAGGAGGAGGAGGAGGTCGAGGAGGAGGGGGGGGAGGGG